CATCCATCCATCCATCCATCCATCATCCATCATCCATCCATCCATCATCCATCCATCCATCCATCCATCATCCATCATCCACTCATGCATCCATGCACCTATCCCTTTGTACTATTTCCCACTCAACTACTCAGCACCTTCCTAACCCAGACACTCAGTGCAGAGGGGTTGGCCAGCTTGTGCCCTCTGTTGCTGGGTGGCAAAGGAGGAGCCCTGGGCTCAGGGTCAGGAGACCTCAGTTCTGATCAGGCTACAAAACTCACGTGGCCTTGGACGAGTCGCATCCTCTCTCTCTGGGTCTTAGTCTAGGAGAAAAGGAGGAAACACTCCCCAACTCATTTTAAAGACTGATATTACCAGGATTTTTTTTTAAATCAGTCATGGATAGGACAAGAAAGAAAAATTACAGGACAATCTCAACTATAAACAAAGATGTAAAAATCAGATTATTAGTAAACGCATTTCAATAATGTATGTTATGTATACATGATATATATATAATATATCATGACAGATTTGGGTTTACCTCAGAAATGCAAGGTTTAACATTAAAATATATAGGCATTTCGGTTTCCAATAATATGGGATTCCTAGGTATCTGGATTACTCCTTCTACTGAAAACTAAAAATCTCGAATAAAATATATAATACTCTCTTATAAGCATCATTAAAATAGCAAAAATGTAAAGCATTCTTGGATCAGGAACAGAGTGGAGGTAGAAATTCAGAGAGATAAGCAGAGCCCTGAAAGGATTTTGTGAAACAGGTGAGCTTGATTAAGCTTTGGTTTCACATCCTTCCAAAGCCCAAAGTACAAGAGATAAAACCCAGGGCCCACTCAGGTGGGCAGTCTATCAGGAAATCCTTCCTCCATAAAACTGGGATCACTGAGGCAGCCCTGATGGCCTAACGGTTAAAGTTGGGCACGCTCTGCTTCAGCGGCCCAGGTTTGGTTCTCGGGCACAGAACCACACCACTCGTCTGTCAGCAGCCATGCTGTGTCAGCGGCTCATACAGACAAAACAGAAGAACATACAACTATACACAACTATGTACTTGGGCTTGTAGGGGGGGAAAGGAAGAAAAAAGGAGGAAGATTGGCAACAGATGTTAGCTTAGGGAAAATCTTCCCCTTCAAAAAAAAAAAAAAAAAACTGGGACCACAAAAGAGTTATACCCTTGGAGATAATGAGGATAAAATAGAAGCAAACCCACTGACCCCCAGCTCTCACCCAGGAGACTGCAAGAAAAGTCAACCATCTCAAGCCCTGGCTTAAAACAGAGTGGAAAAATTTACCCCTAAGAATTAGAAAGCATAAGTTGGACCTCATGTGAGTTTGCAGCCCAAATTCACACTGAAAATATGCTTGAGAATTTAATTTGCAGCAATCCCCTGTAAAATCCCAAGAAAATGAGCAGATTTCAGTAACAAAAAAGACCAAATAAAGAAACAAGCCACCATGAATGAGATTTAGCAAAAACAACTGGCTGCATAAACAGAACCCCAAGGGCTTCAGAGAATGGAATTATCAGACACAACCATAAAATGACTATGTTTGATATGTTTAAAGAAATAAAAGACAAACTTGAAAATACATGTGGAAAACAGGAAACTGTAATGACTGCCTAAGCATAGTTGAAAAAAAGAATAAAATAAAACTTCTGGAAAGACCCAGCTGAAGAAAAAATCAATGACTTGGAAGATAGATCTAAAGAAATTATTAAAATGTAGTTCAGAGAAACAAAAAGATAGAAAATATGATAGATTCATAAGCATAGAAAATAGAGCAAGAAAGTACACCATAAATCCAAATGGAGTCCTAAAGAAAACGAAATGAAAATGAGAATGGCTGAGAAGTTCCAGAATTGATTAGACATTGTATCAGTCAAGGTTCTCACAGAGAGAAGAGAGGAAGAGATTTTAAGGAACTGGCTCACATGATTGTGGGGGCTGGCAAGTCTGAAATTTATAGGGCAGGCCGGCAGGCTGGAAACCCAGGCAAGAGTTGAAGTTGCAGTCTTGAGTCCAAAATTCACAGGGCAGGCCAGCAGTCTAGAAACTGGGGCAGAATTTCTATGTTAGAGTCTTGAGATAGAATTCCTTCTTCTTCTTTTGCTCTGAAGGCCTTCAACTGATTGGATGAGGCCCACCCATATTATGGAGGGTAACCTGCTTTACTTAAAGTCTACTGATTGTAAATGTGGTAACCACATCTACAAAATACCTTCACAGCAACATTTAGACCAGTATTTGACCACAGCTGGGTACCATAGCTTAGTCAAGTTGACATATAAAATTAACCATCACAGACACCAATTCACAGATTTAAGAAATTCAAACAAGTCCCAAGCAGGCTAAATAAAAGGAAACTCTCACCTAGACCTGTTATAATGAAGTTGCAGAACACCCAAGACAAAAATCACCAAGGCAGCCAGAGAGAAAAAGAGCAACAGAGTGACAACTGACATCTCGTTGGTAACAATGATGCTAAAAGCCGGTGGAATAATATCTTCAATTTGTTGAGAGAAAACAACTACCAACCTAAAATTTTATACCAGGCAACACAAAAATATTTTCAGCAAACATAACTTGAGAGAATTTGCCACCAATAGACACTCACTAATGAAAATTCCGAGAGATTTACTTCAGGCAGAAAAGCAAGGCAACCACTCCAGCTAAAAGGTCTGAGATTCAAGAAGCATGAAGAGCACACAAAGCAGTAAATATTAAGTCTAAACAAACACTGATTGTACAAAACAGTGGGAATAATGCCTCGTGGGATTTGAAATTTTACACAAAATTAGAAAGAAAAAGCCAAGATAAAACTAAAATACATGGCAACAGTAGCATTTAGGTTGAGGGGAATACATTATTTGGAAGGAGGAAAAAGATACCAATTAACTTTAGCCTTTGTTACAGTAAAATTTTAAAGAAATGCAATGTTACATGCAAAAACAATAAAAAAGAAAATCTATCAGTGTAATTTCCAAAAATTGCCACCACAATATTTCTAGCACTACATATTCTTCCAGATCTTATCACTCCCTCATCAGGAGATGAATTTATTTCCTCTACCCTTGATACTCAGTAGGACTTTATGTGGTTGTCTTGACGAATGGAATGTGGCAGGAGTGATGCTGCTTGACTTCCGAGGCTAGGTCACCAGAGGCTAAGGCATCAGAGGCTTCTGCCTGGTTCTCTCTCAGGATGCTTGTTCTTGGAAACCCAGCCACCATATTGGGAGGAAGCGCAAGTTGCATGGAGATGCCACATATAACTGTTCCTGCCCAAAGTCCCAAATGATGTCCCAGCCGACAGCCGATACCATCAATTGTCAAGCATGTGAA